TTCCCCCCCCCCCCCCTCATTTTACAGTAAATTTTGTTGTTTTTCAAACGACTTGTCAAGGTATATATCCATCTTTTGTTTCTTATGAATTTAGTAGCTTTATTAGGTTACTTGGTTCTATAAGTTTTCTTGAAACTATCTATATCCAAACTTTGTGGAACTGATGCGAGACAGTTTCTGTTTGCTGATGAAGGTATATGATACCATCGGAAATAACAAAGTTGATGAGGACTCACTTTCCAGGTAGTACTAGTAGTAGTATATGCTTTGTGTGTTGTTGGTATTTCTTCCTGATTGAGGTAGGCACCATTTTTTAATGTTTGGTATTTACTGGCATTGCATCCTCACACTTAGGTGTCTACTATTCTTATCAATCAATCAAATATGATTTTTAAGTTCAGTGGAAGCAGCACTGTTGTTGCAAGTTGCAACCTTACAATATTAAGGTAGCTTCATATTTTGTCTAATTGATCTTTCTAATTGAAATAATCGCAATCCACATGAAGCTCCTCCTATTGGAGATTAATTTGGAACCCTGAAAGAGTTGTTGCTCAGATTAACAAAGCCATTTTAATCATAATGTTTAAGATCCTTGATCCATTGCATCATCTATTAGTCTGTGTTTATCAACATTCCAAATAATACACAAGTATGCAAGTTACTGACATACTGCAATTTCACTCTTTACCTTCTCATTTGTGATTGATTTTTGTGATTCAGTGCCAACATCTGGGTAATATTTAGCAGCAATTGAGAACTGAGGATTTGCTTCTGTTTAGGTTTTTCAGCAGTGATTGATTCATGTTTCTGTTATCTATGCTGCAGAGATGATGATTGGTCTATTGAAGGGAAGAACAACACTCTCTCCTTTCCATCATACTATATCGATGAAAATGTAATTATCATCCATGTGTTATCATTTTGAGGTTTTAGAGCTAATTACTGATCTGAAGTCTGAACCTGTTTGAGACTTGTGAACTTGTGAGCTAATTTATACAGAGTGACTTCCTCAGTCAGGTTTAGTAACATGATCACATTTGCTCAAACTTTGCCATGCCATCAAATTTGCAAAGTTGATTTCAGATGTTGATGCTCTAAGCTGGTAGCATTAGATGTATACAAGTTATTTATGTTGTTGGTTCAAGCCATTAGACTTCACAAATTGATATGTTCATCTGGAAATGGTTTATGCTCAAGGACCAAGCCTGTTCTGTTTCCAGATTAAATGCTACATGCAAAATGATTATACAAGTTCGAAACCAAATAAGACATTCATATAAAATTGCTCAGTTAATATTTCTAGCAGTTGGCTAGGCCCTTTCCTTTGTAGTTCATAGCATATCAGCTTATGGAGAGGGGGCCAGTGCCTAGCATAAACAGAATCAATCCAAGCACTGCAATGCTACAAATATTTCTTGGAAAAGTTGGTGATATTTCAGAAACCAAGACAATGTTTCATATAATTAGAGTTTTTATTCTATACAACTCGAATTCACGTGTCATTGTAATCATGATATAATTCTTATGCACTTTATCATTTTGTAGGCAGTTATCTGCTTGGATGGAGATGGCTGCAAGATACGAAGTGGATCAGCAAATATTGAGGAAGAATCTAATCTCGATACCTCTATTGCTTGCGATTCTTGTGACATTTGGTAAATTTTTATCCCTAAGGTTGTGCTTGATTTTGGGTTGAAGTGGGTTAACATTTAACCCCTCCTGACCTTGTTTAGTAGCTCTTAACACCCTTAACACTTAATTCCTTAACATTTAACCTCCAATTCTTAACACTGAACCAAACGCAACCTAAGTGATATTGTTTAGGTATATTTTATACATGTAGGTTGATGTGTTTAGAAATTCTACTTCACTATGTAGCTTATAGTGAGAGAAAAAGTTTTAGATGGTTGATTTTTTCCTTTTACTTTGTTAAAGGTGTCAAAAAGTAGCATTTAACCAAGATACATATTGGGTATGACAGCTTAGAGCCCTCCCAGAAACAAATTAATTGCCCTACGCTTTCTTGTCATGCTACAGGTATCATGCTTTTTGTGTGGGCTTTGATGCTGAAGGGACATCAGAGGATACATGGTTATGCCCGAGGTAAAACTATGAGGATGATTATTTAATTAGGCAGTGTTGGGATGTGACTTTGCTATGTCAATACAGTCCTATGACTTTTTGCTTGGAGATATAAACTATGGTACTCTGAAGAAATGTGCTTCTTCTATACATAGAAAACATGTTATGTATATAAAATGAAAGTTGAGTATGCTGCAATTGGCTTTTAGTATTCATGGAGTGCTGCAAGGGGTTTTGAATAACCCTTTCTAATGTTTTGTTAGGTGGGCATCTGGTGATGTTCTTCTATTATATCATTTTATTTAAGCTTTCTATGATTAGTCTACAGACATCTGATGCTCTGATGTAGATTTCTAAGCTTGGACTCAGTTTTACTTAAGCCTAGGTTCCTCTGTGTCATTTGCTAATGCATCATGTTTTTGGTTTGATGCAGATGCACAGTTGGTGAAGTGCCACAGAATCCTGATGTAGCTTCGCTACAGAAGCCAAACAATCAGTGTTATTCAGAGAATTCTCACAGTAGTAGTTTTGCTGAGGCTGAGGCTGCTTTTTCTGGAAAGATGTCTGTATCTATCGCTGATGCTGGAGAAACAGCTGTTGTTGTCTCAATGGTTGGAGGCACTAAATGGACTGAAGAACCAAGTAAACCAACCCTTGAAGTTGATGAGAACCTGATGGATGATGCAGTTAAACCTGATGGCAATAGCTACAAGGTAGAAAGACAATCTAGCAAAAAGACTGATGTACAACCAACCATGGAGGCACCGAAACTTGAACTGTCCTTGTCGTGTGATGCATCCTTCAGTCACCTATCTACTTCCTTGGTGCTTGCTGAGTTGAAGACCATTTGTGATGATGGAACAGTGAATGAACCAATTATTGGTGATGGTGTTGAAAATTCTTTGAGAAAGTTGTTTAATGATTCCCCTGCCAGAAACAAGCTGTCTGGAAAGGAATCTAGTGAAGATCTTCATCTTGGTTTATCTTTGGGCTGTTCTTCATCTGGTAATTATGCATGTTTAATATCTGTTCATCTTTCCTTTTCATCCACACAATAAAACATAAGTGATAGTTTTGTCTCTTTTGCATGCTTGAAAGTGTCTAATTGCAAGAATTTTTTTGTGCTATTAACAGGTTACATTATGACCAATGAAACTGAAGATCAAGGGACCATTGAAGTACAACAGCAAAGTCTTTCTGAAGAATCTTTGCTAAGAAGAGGTATTGAAGAGACTGTTTCAAACATTAAAAGGAATCCATCCAGACCATTATTTGGCTGTGGAAAGTTAAATGAATTTCTTGTAGGAAACTATTTCACATTTTGTTGACTTTTGGATGTGTATTTCATTAACTGTCCTATTTCTAAAATGTTTTTCAGATGAGAAGATTCTACCAATTGCTAATGAGGAGGCCATGAAAATTATTGGTGTGAAGAGAAAGCATGCCACTTGCAGGTTACTTGAAATTGAGTGTTTTCATCTTTACTCACTATTCATGTTCACTAACTGGGTGTCAAGTGTTGTTTGACTTTTGCTTCTCACTCAAAGTAACTCTTAAATACCGTCCCCCTCCCTCTCTCTCTGTGTCCCAAAAAATATAACAGAAGAAAAGAATCACTAAATTAAAAAAACAGGCAATAAGTAGTTGATATACTGGTTCACTGGCTTTTGTCTTTTAAGATGAATACTCCTTCCAGTAGAAGTTTGTGCTGTTGATCATTTTTGTCTTTTTCCTATTCTTAAACTCTTTTTGGTTGTTAGTGATGATGCTGTTAAGACTGCTGATGATAACGAAGACAATGCTAAGAATGAAGCTGCAGTTCTTGCAAAGAAGACCAGAATCAGCAGGAAGTTGCAAATAACTCCTAAGGACCAGGACAGTGCACTTCTTCCAGTAGATTCCCAAAAGTGCCCTGCCAAAATAGCAGTTCCAAAAAATGTCAAATTAAAACGATCTCTTGAAAAGCAAGATGTCACTTCTGATATAATGAGTGTGGTTAAAGGGACTGGTCGTAGGACTTTAAAGGGGCTTGCTCACCAGAGTCCTCCAGATAAATCATCAAAAGATGGGGAAAATGCAGCGGGCTTGAGAGTGAAAAAGATCATGAGGAGAGCTGTGGAGGACAAGGAATCATCTGTTGTAGTTCAAAACCTTAGAAAAGAAATAAGAGAAGCTGTGCGTAACCGATCTTCTGATGAAATCGGGGAAAACCTTTTTGACCCTAAGCTTCTTGCTGCCTTCCGAACTGCTGTAGCAGGATCCACAGCTGAACCAGTGAAGAAGTTGCCCCCTTCTTCTCTTAAGGCAAAGAAGTCCTTGCTGCAGAAGGGTAAAGTTCGTGAGAATCTGACAAAGAAAATATATGGAGATTCTAATGGAAGAAGAAAACGTGCATGGGATCGAGACTGTGATGTTGAATTCTGGAAGTATCGCTGTATGAGGGTTACAAAGCCTGAAAAAATTGCAACTTTGAAGTCAGTTCTTACTCTTCTTAGAAAGAATCCAGAAGGCTCAGAGATGGATCAGGGATATGAATTCCAGGAGACCAATCCCATTCTTTCAAGATTATATTTAGCAGACACATCTGTTTTTCCAAGAAAGGATGATATCAAGCCTCTCTTAGCTTCTACAACTACAAGTAACACTGAACAGAATAAAGCTCAGGAAATTTCAATGGATAAAGTTCGGAAGCCATCTCCTGATGATCATACTCTTAAATCTGCAGGAGCAAATAAAGTATCATCAAAGCTTGTTGTGCCTTTAATTCATGATAAAGGGCTTAAGGATAAAGTTCTCAGCACAAATTGTCAGCCTGCTTCTAGCAAAGCACAACCGGTTGGATGTTCCAAAGTCAATACACAGAAGGAAAAAGGTGCTCAATCTGATGATAAAAGGATGGATAAAAGAAAATGGGCCTTGGAGGTGCTTGCAAGAAAAAAGGCAGTTTCAGGTAAAACTGCAGCAGATGAAAAACAGGAAGACAGTGCAGTGCTTAAAGGAAATTATCCTTTACTCGTATGTACCCCTCTCCCCCTTAAACCAGTTTTTTCTAGCTGTTTGATTCTATATGACATTCTGCAAACTGTTCCTAATTCTTTCTTATTTTCCCCTTCTCTGGTTGCTGTGAGCAGGCTCAACTGCCAATTGACATGAGACCGGTGTTAGCATCCTGTCACCACAATAAAGTCCCCATATCGGTTAGACAGGTATGCAATGCATTGTGTGCCTGCTTTTTCGTAACTAAGCTGGTTGTTTTGCATGGACGGTAAACTTTTCTGGAGTCATGTTTTAGGTTTGCTCTTCTATGGAAAAAAAAAAAGAATTTGCAGAAGTAGGCTATGTTTTCTGTTTAAACTTGAACTGCCCATTTGGAAAGATGGTATGATGTGGATAGACCACATTATTGTTTCCTCAGTTTGCCATCATTCAAACACCTCTGCCATCACCAACCTGCTACTCTTGTTACTCACTGCCCTAGCCTCCAGAACTGTGTGTTGCCTATTCTTCAGCAGTCAAATTCTCACCTCTAGGAAATCCAATTAGGTTGTGGATTCGGCAAAATTTAACTTCGATTTGGCTGTTTCACGTGCCAAACTTGTACTGAACACGAAGTTCTCTATACTCATCCATTTCTCAACCTCTAATTTTTAAGCTCCCACTCAAATGGTTTTCAGATTTTTCACTAAGTAACTGTGTGCTTGGCTGTGCTTCGGCTAATTCCAATCTCTTGTTGTACAGACACAACTTTACCGACTGACAGAGCACTTCTTGAGGAAAGTAAATCTGCCAGAGATTCGCAAAACTGCAGAAACAGAGTTGGCTGTTGCAGATGCAATTAATATTGAGAAGGAGGTTGCCGACAAGGCAAACAGCAAAATAGTATATTTGAATCTTTGTTCTCAGGAAATAATGCGTCAATCAGATGACAGAAAGTCCAATAGAGCCACGGTATCAAATTCTTCACCATCTGCTGTCACTGTTGATAGATTAGAACAAGATATCGATGAACTCCCAACGGATCCTGCAGTTTTAGATGCATTGAGAAACGCAGGACTCTTATCTGATTCTCCTCCAAGTAGTCCCCATCATAAAATGAAGGTTTCCAATGAAGTAGATGATTCCTCAATGCAGATCAAAGAAGAAGGGCCTGATAATGTATTTGAAATGGATTCTCATTCAGATGTTGATATATATGGTGATTTTGAGTATGATTTAGAAGATGAAGACTACATTGGTGCTACTAATTTGACAGTCCCCAAGCTAATAGTAGAAGAAGGCGAGTCAAGGATGAAAGTAGTCTTCTCCACTCTTAAATCTGAAATGCCGAACAATTCTCAGGATCTTGAAGGTTGTTTGACTTTGGCGAATAAAGAAGAACTCAAGGACTCTGCCTCCTCGCCAAAGATTCATGTTGATGCAGGCATCATCAGCACAACCATGGAGGGTGGAACTAATAGGTCTTGTGCTGATTCAGAATCTCTACCTGGCGAAGAAGGTGAAGAACCTTCTCCTGCAGAATGTGATGAACTATATGGTCCAGACAAGGAGCCTCTGATCAACAAATTTACTGAAGAAGCATCTAGAAATCTACATGAGCTGGCTGACCCTGAGGCTTCAACTAAGCACAAAGGTTCGGGAGAAAATGAAAATAATTCATCAAGACAAGATGGGAATACCAATGCGACCTCTGCTGGTCACACTTGTGATGGAGAAACCACGTGTGACCATTCTCAAACAGCTGAAAGTGGCCGTAAAAAGGATAGTTCTAAGACTAACACTAACAAGCAGGGTGACATTATCAATTCTGTTTCTAAGAAGGTACAAGTTGATCTCAACTTCTCTTCTTTCCTTGTCTTTTTATTTAGTTACTTATTTTTTAATGAAGGTGTGTTACAACGCTGTGGATGCAATGAAATTCACCGGAGGACATAAGTTTTCAAATCTGTGTACTATTATTTTCCTTGCATACCTACTTCTGTTGACTGGTCATTCTAACTTTATAGGTTGAAGTGTACATCAAAGAGCACGTCAGGCCACTGTGTAAGAGTGGCATAATCACTGCTGAACAGTATAGATGGGCTGTGGCAAAAACTACTGATAAGGTTATGAAATACCACTTGAATGCGAAGAATGCAAATTTTCTAATCAAGGAAGGTGAGAAGGTGAAGAAACTTGCTGAGCAGTATGTTGAGGCAGCACAGCAAAAGGAAAGGAGTGATTCCGTATGACTAACCCTTGTCCTTGGAGCTTCTGCAGCATGTTTTTGTTCTCCAGTCCAAGTATTCTACCCTTGACTATGGGATCCAGCTCAAGTCGTTGTTGATACTGCTCTTGTATGCACCGAAATTTGAAAAACGTGTTCAAGCAGGAGGTTTTGTTTCAATGCCTAGCCCATTCGATCAGACTTTACCAATGGTGATCCCTTCTTCATCTGAACTACTTGTCCCTGGACAACAGGAGATGGAAAATGCAAACACAACTAATTGATTACAGTCAAAACTACAGAACTGGACCTGCTTGGAATTTTGGACCCAAGCATCCGCAGATTTATTTTATCACCACGGTCACTTCACAAGAACTCCAAAAAACAAAGAAATCTCTCCCGCAAGGGAGATGTATGCTGTAACAGATGAAGACATGACAATTCCGAAACGAAGAAGAGCTGGGCGTTTGGAGCTATTTCTATGGATGTGAAATAACAATTGATGTGCGCGGAGGAGTGGTTATGCGATGCAAATCATTCCAGGATGTGAAATAACAATTGATGTGCGCGGAGTGGTTATGCGATGCAAATCATTCCAAATGCATGGCATAAGCTCAGTGTTTCGTTTGTGTTGATTTCATGAATGCGTTGTATGTTTTGTATCATGTACATCTGCCTGTTGAAACAAAGTCTATTTGGATGAAACGAGTTGGGTTTTCTCCTCCTCGTACATCTGCCTGTTGAAACAAAGTCTATTCGGATGAAACGAGTTGGGTTTTCTCCTTCTCGTCTCCTTGAAGGCCAACGCCATTTTCACACAAATGTCTCGAATGAAAACATAAATTTCTTTTTAGAGACTATCGTATCCGTATCGCGGTGGTTTTTTTATTTTTGCCAAAAAAATTAAAAAATTATTTGGTTAGTGAAATAGTTTTTGTTTTTTTTTTCAATGAACTTTGTTTTAAATTGTGGTTTTGTAAAACTTAAAATAATTTATTTTTTATTCTTAAAGATCTAATTTTTATTTATGTTATATATATAAATTTATTTCACAACACTTGTTTTTTTAAAACCTACCTCAGGTACAATGCTAAACACATTCCTAGAAGCCTGGATAATTTTTGAAAAAAAATAAGAACTTTGAAAAAAAGAAGAAGAAATCTGCTTAAAAGAAATTAATTCTTAGAAAAAGTCGTGCTCATGAGAAGAAACAAAAGAGCGCTGCTATTCTTGCAAGCTGAAACAGGCTTGTTTGTTTTTGTCATCGGAAAGTATTTTTATAAAACTTTATTTTTTAATTTTAAATTAATTGTTTTATGTTTTTAAAAATAAAAAATATTATTTTAATATATTTTTAAATAAAAATATTTTAGAAAAGCACCAGAATACCAACACATGTGCAGCAGGAATGGAACGTGCACGTTAATCCAATTCTTTTATCCATTTTGAAAGCAGTCACGTATATTTTAGATTTTGAAATCTAATTTTAGCACTAAAATTTGATTTTGGTCACTGTGCATGACAGATTTATGTGCCTGTGTGTGGCATGCATCATTTGGATGGAAGAGCAACATTTGCATTGGGGAAAAGGAATAGGTTGAGTACACAGCATGGATAAAACTTTTTATTTGGGATGAAAATGAAGGTTCTGATATATATTGCGGATTAAACTGTTGTTATCCATTTTTATCAATCAGTTGCCCTTCTGACCATTTCATTTCAACTCCACCAAAAATCCCCAATCCCATCCATGAAGGTCTAATTTCTTAAACCCTAAAATGCAATTGTTGTAGCTGCAAATAAATGACTAGCATTGACACTCTATTCTCTCTCAGGGTTTGTCTTCCCAAACCCTATAAAAAACCCTTAAAATCCCCTCCAAAATTTCGATCGAAAACCCTATTTCTTAACCGATCACTCAGAGTCTTATGCGAGGTGAATTCAGCCTCCACGGCACAGTCAGGTGACACTAACAAAGAAGATTTTGTCACTAGAGTTTTGAAGCAAAACCCTAGCCAAATTGAACCCAGATACTTAATCGGTGACAAGTTTTATACTTTGAAGGAAAAACAGGATTTGAGCAAGAAAAAAAATGTGGGGCTTATTGAGATTGTGGACAGGTTATTGAATTTGAAAGGAAAAGTGAAAAAAGAGGGAAATGAGAGTGAAAATGAGGAAAAAGCTGTGTACTTGAAGGATATTTTGAGGGAGTACAAGGGAAAGCTTTATGTACCTGAGCAGGTTTTCAGTGTAAAGTTATCTGAAGAAGAGGAGTTTGATAGGAATTTGGAAGAATTGCCAAAAATGGGATTTGAAGATTTTAAGAAGGCAATGGAGAGTGATAAGGTCAAGTTATTGACTTCAAAGGAAGCTGCAATGGGTACTTATGCAAATGATTATAGGGATTTTATTGTTGATTTGAAGGAAATTCCTGGCGAGAAGAGTTTGCATAGAACAAAATGGTGGGTTTTAAGTCTGCTAGCTCGCATTAAGATTTGGTGCTTGTTGGATGTTTTTATGCATTGTTTTGATGGTATGTGGTGTTTTATGTAGGACAATGAGATTAAATGAGAATGAAGCTCAAACACTTTTGGAGGAGTATACGGGTCCATTCTATGAAATAGAGAGGCATATGGCGGTAATTAATCTTTCAGCTTCTCTTCAATTGATTTTGTCAAAGATTCCTTAGTTGTAATATTTATCAGATTGAGAAGAGAGCTTTTCTGAGAAAGTTATGTCTCATCGATGAACCGTTTTCAGGTACAGGATGATTTAGGTACATGACAGTGAGCTTGCAAAGCTTAAAATTAAATACGGATGTGAGGTCAATTGATACAAATTCTTGTATAGATATAGCCAAGCAAAACATTAGATAGTCATTTGTCTTATGCCAAATAGAAGTAGAGATGCCAGATTGGAGATTAGATCATAGATCTAACATACATTCTGAAATTTGCTTTCTTCAATTTATGTATGGAATAATTAGCAGAGCTATATAATACATGAAGTTTACATCATAAAACATTATAATTAAGGCATTTCTTTTCAATAGCATTCTGCAGTCACAAAATTTTCATCAAAGACGTGAAGTTTACATCATAAAACATAATAATTAAGGCATTTCCTTTCAATAGTATTCTGCAATCACAAAATTTTCATCATAAAACCTTGCGCATATGTATGAAGTTGAGGAGATGGAGGATTATTTTTTCACTGGAGCATATATGTTTGTTGCTTACTGCTGCTTCTTTGTTGCAGTCTTCAGTAGGAAAGTTGCCAGAGTACCCTCATCCAGTGGCATCTTCCATATCTAGCAGAATGATGGTAGAGCTTGGAATGGTGACTGCTGTGATGGCTGCTGCAGCAGTTGTTGTTGGAGGGTTCCTAGCTTCTGCAGTATTTGCTGTTACCAGTTTTATCTTTGTGGCAACTGTATATGTTGCATGGCCTATAGCCAAGCCATTTGTTAAACTGTTTCTTGGTATAATCTTTAGTATTTTAGAGGGAGTTTGGGATTATGTGGTTGATATTTTCAGTGATGGAGGGCTCTTCTCTAAGTTTTATGAATTCTACACTTTTGGTGGTGTCTCTGCCAGCATTGAAATGCTAAAACCAATCATGCTCGTGCTTTTAACCATGGTCCTTCTAGTCCGTTTCACTCTTTCAAGAAGACCTAAGAACTTCAGGAAGTGGGTAAATGTTTCTTCAGCCCCTCATTTTGTGATGTTATATGCAATGGGTTGGTAATCTCTGAATTTATGCCTTTTTATTTGTTCAATGAATAATGTACTGATTTAGCATCTATGTTTTGCAGGATTTATGGCAAGGAATTGATTTTTCACGTTCTAAAGCAGAAGCTCGTGTTGATGTTAGTTTATTTTTATTGCACTTATCACCAATCTTAATAAGTTGTAAGTGAATTATTTAAACATCAGTTCAATATTCTCTCAGGGTTCAACTGGAGTTAAATTTGGTGACGTGGCTGGGATTGATGAAGCAGTAGAGGAGCTTCAAGAGGTATTCTTACAGCTTATCTTGATTGCTTGTATGATAGGCTGGTAAACATGTTTAATAACTGAATTGTGAAATATTTGATTTTTTTTCCTACCAATTTTTCCATGTCTGCTTTTGCACTAAGCTCGGGCATCTTTTTCTGGAAGATAATCAAGGAAGCTTGGAAATTACCGTCTATTGTCGTTTACATTGACCACAAGTATTAAACCATTGAGCTGAAGTTCTGCTCATGAACTTGCACTCAACTACTACACCTTTTTTTTGGCCATTCTCAAATCAACGAGGTCTTGAAGCCAAAGTAGTTGATATCAGCTTCATGAGTCATTTAATGGACCCTTCCCTTTGTAGAGCTGTATTTGTTCTGGGAGACAGAAAAGGTTAAAGTTTCAAGTTTTTTCAAAAGCTCAAATTACTGGGAGATTAGCTTGATAAGTTTTACCCAATTGGTGTTTTATGCTTGAAGGTTCAGAAATCATCTGTCAACTATCATGAGTTGCGTTTTTCTTTCTTAGTCTCATTTTTCCAAGCATGAAGGTATTTTGCTTTTATCAGTTTCATAACACACATTCTTCCTTCAACCACCCTCTTAACTGTAAGTTCTTCTATTTGTTCTTAAACGAATGATGTCTTCCTTGTGAATTCTGTTTATTAATGTTTATTACATCAACTTGATAGTCATTTATTGATATCTTTTCTTTAATCCCCTTCGAATAAATTTGCATTTTTGTTTATTGAAGCTTACTGGGGTCTTTAACAATTTTCTAATCAGTTGGTGAGATACTTGAAGAATCCAGAACTGTTTGATAAAATGGGAATAAAGCCTCCACATGGAGTGCTTTTGGAAGGTGCTCCTGGATGCGGCAAGGTTAGTAATATTGTTCTGCCAGTCTGGGAATTTTATGGTGAAGTTTTCTATACAAAATTAAAGGTTTATAATAATTTTGCAGACCCTGGTTGCAAAGGCTATAGCAGGTGAAGCTGGAGTTCCATTTTACCAAATGGCTGGATCTGAATTTGTTGAAGTTTTAGTTGGTGTTGGTTCTGCTCGTATCAGGGATCTTTTCAAGAGAGCCAAGGTAAATACACTTTGGTATTGACTAGCAGTGTATCATTAATCATGCCTTGTTGCTAGTTGTCCATTGTCTGGTAGTCCGGATTTCATTGTTTTACAATAGTAATTCTATCCATGATTGCTTCTCTTAGATATCAAGGAAATTGATTTTTCTGGAATGCATATTTGGACTTGTATATTTGTAAAGAATCCGTGTGTCATGTGCATATGCCATATTTTATTTATGGAAAAGATTTCAACTGGCAATTTTACTTGTGCTGATAATGTATAGTCCTTGAAAGCTTGTGGGCATAATTCCATGCATCCAGTAATTCGTGGTGTCTGTCTGCTTTGAAAAAATTATTGAGAATGTCTTTTTTCCATGCAGGTAAATAAACCATCAGTTATTTTCATTGATGAAATTGATGCGTTGGCAACTAGGTATGGATGCTCTTGTTGGTTACTCAAAGTGAATAGTATAGTTTTACCCCAGTTGAATTCATATCTTCATAACATTGTACCACCCAACCTCTATCACTGTATCTGTGGCCAATTGAACTGTTGACCTTATATTCTTAGGCATACCTCTTTAGCCTGTGCCTGAACTTAATTTGACTATAAATGATTTCTGTCTATTTATTCTGTGATCAGGCGGCAAGGGATTTTCAAGGAATCTACTGACCACCTGTATAATGCTGCCACTCAAGAGAGGGAAACTACATTGAATCAGCTTTTGATAGAGCTTGATGGGTTTGACACTGGAAAAGGTGTTATATTTCTAGCTGCAACA